TCGGCTAGCAAAATGCTAAAGCCGGAATAACATTGGCAGAGCAAATAACGACAATGCTTCCAGAAGCCATAATCCTAAAACATTCAATTCCTAGGCTTAAATATGTGCAATTAATTTGCGCTGTAGTGAAGACTGCGGAAAGAAGAGGTTAAAGTAAATTTTCAAGTCATAATAACTGGTTAATTAACGAAATCCTACAAAACCTAAAAAACACTAGCAGCCAGAAATTTATTGCGAGTACGATTTATATAGATACAAACAAAATTTAATAAAACTTATCCTTATTTGCCAAAAACAGTTTTGAGGTACAGGTAATGGGAATGTAAATAACTAAATATATTCTGCATACAGATTATGTTTAATAGCTACATAACCCGGCTCCAACAGCTTGAGATGTTTAAGTATAAACGATAGCAATTACAGGAAAACACTCATTTAACCAGCTTCAGTCAGACTGACGACTATCGAGATAAATTGATTTCTTGTTTGTTGCATTCCTAAAACTCGCCTGCTAAATTTCGCGGTCACTCGCTATTTAAATTCCACCTAGTTATATTCTAGCGAGGCTGACGGAAGCAACAGGAGTAAAAGAAAAGTATTAACATAACATTTATTATTTTAAAAATGTATCTTTCATTGTTTAGGGGGCCTACCAGCGGCCGAGCGGTAAAGTCGCTGAACACTGGTAGTTCGGTCCGAGGTTCGAATCCCGCGATCGAGCTGGCTGCATGGGCGTTTTCGTGGTTTTCCCCATGTGTAACGTGTATACGAGCCAGTTTTCCTTAGAAAGTCCTCCACGAAGGCATTCCTCCCCTTAGGCAGATAGCCCTCGTGTGCTTTGCCATAATTAAATAAACCATACACCATTGTTTAGGAAATTATCTTATTTCCCTTTAACAAGTAGGGAGTCTGCGATTCAAGTCCTGAGGCGGGCACAGGTGGTTTGTTTCATATTACCTGGCTGTTTGAATCGAAAAATTGAAAGAATGAAAAGAAGAAAGAAAGGAGAATTTGAGGAGATAAACCTCTTTTATCGGTGAAGGAGAGCTTAACCGAAGGGTTCAAAAACAAAAACGAGATACTGGTTCAAAAGCTGTCACGCGATCAGTGGAGTGAAATTTAATTACGATCATAAGATCACTTGGTTCAATAACATTGCCAAGGCAGTAAAACAGATAAGTAATTAAAAAGTATTGGAACAAATCAAATATCAGTGAACAAAAGATTTTATGAAAGATACCAAGAGTTTTTTTTATTAAGAAAGAGCTGCAAGGGAAATATATATAAAATATGCAATCGATAATGCAAAGAGGGATGTAGAAAGAGTAATTAGAACTTCATTATTATGTACAGGAGATAAAAGTTTCTTGCTAACTATTAACTTTTTTATTACGTAAATGTGCAGCATGCAGGAAAATTTAATATACGGGAGTCATTGAAACATCAAATAAATAACGTATTTTATATAGTAATTAGCAAAATATCAGCATACATAAAAGAAAGAAAACAATGTAAATATACAGCTTTCGGCATTTTCTATTCTAAAGAATATAAACTTAATACGAAAACTTAATTCTTTTCTAAGATCATCCTCATCCGAAATAGTCTTAAAACCGAAATGATATTTCCCATAAGACTTCATATAAAATTAATTAATCTGTTCCCAGATCACAAAGGATTGCTTAGAAAAGTACATTGTCTGTAATTTCGTAATATGAAACCTGTGGAATTTATTAATACATTACATACACACTATTAACGTATATATACACCAGTAGTCTCAAATCCAGTTGCACGCGGGTTTAATAGAAGCAAGTTTTAATACAAGCACGCATGTACGTCAATGAGAGTGAATGTATTCTTTATTTGCATCTGTTTATTGAGAATATATAAATGTCCGGTTAAATCAACAAAAAAGGCTCAATCTGGTATCTATGTATCATTAAATACCTCATCCATGATTTTATTTATTTATTTATGTTATGAATTTTGATTTACTTTATTAAATTAAAATTATTTTAATATATCTAATCGATATGATTACCCCACCTCGTTATATTAAACTAGAAAGCCGGGCGGTCATACTAAATGACCGCTGTTCTAGATATTATAAATTGTAATTGAAATGATTTGTGCAAAGGTGTCTGGTCATTCAAACTGAATTACCCAGGGCAGGTAGCGAGGACACCCCTTTACTTATTGCCCCCCGTGGTTTCCTCCTTCTGCTTGCTTAATTGCTTAAAGTAGAGTACAATGAATGAAACCACTGGCGGTATATTAAGAGCCCACCGCTAGCTCAATCAATAAAGGTGATTTAAATAATAAAATGTTAATTCACATGTCAAAGATCTCTTTGTGCACAACATTTCTTGTGTAGATCTTTCCATCATTTTTAAGCTCGCCTTGCAGAGGACCATCCATTATTTTTAATTTTACTACCGTTCTTTCACGAACTCTTGAATAGTCAACATAAAGTTGACCGTGTCCAAATGCAGGCTCAGGTAAAAAAATGCCAACGCGCTTAAGCGTTTGGCCCTGAGACTTATGGATGGTCATAGCAAAGGCAAGTTTTACAGGAAATTGTCTGCGTCTCAATTGAAACGGCAACCCTGTGCCGTGGCAACTTCACCCCATTGGCTAGTACACTTACGCAAGCAACCAATAAACTTTCGGCGACAGGTGACAGGTGACAGGTGACGGAGGACGGAGACGCCTAGTGTTTAACGGAGGTAAACAAACTTTCGGCGAAAAACAGACACTTAAGCCGCGTATATATATATATATATATATATATATATATATGGGGTAAAGTAACATCATCTCCTCCGAAACGGCTAGCTCCCGGGCTTAGCGAAGCACACCGTTGGATTCTGCAGGTCCGTGGCATGCCAGTTTGACATTTCTTGGGACTTTAATTAGCCGAGATATTAATTAAAAACTAATTTTCCCCTACGTTTTCCTCTTTCTTTCTTGGGTTTTCCCTATTACAGGGATTTGGCTACGTGCCAAATTCTTTTTTCTCGAATATCTACGGAACGGCGTCGAATTGAAATTCGAAACGCGTATCCTGGGATTCCAAAAAAATCCCCCGAAACCATCGATACCGTTCTCATCTTCGTACGACTTTAATCGGCCGAGATATTAATTAAAAACTGCGTAAACGTTAATTTCCGCTCTCATTTTTCCGAGTGGCAACAATAAACTATCGGCGACACACACTTTAGCCGCTTATACTCGTATATATAAAGATGTGTCGCAGTCACTTATGAACTGAAGTGATTTGAAGACTAATTTAAAACGAACTACGAACTGAATTGAATTAAAGTGGATGAGATGACTGGAAATGCAATCAACTGCGCTGCAATATTATAACTTTTCATTTGTATTATATATAGATACAGTGAGTCCCAAAATTGAGGGTAAACTTAAAGCTAACTTAATTTATAGGCTATTAAGAATAGAAATTATTATGCAAGTTTTCCTAGTTTTGTCCCATTAAAAATATACATTTTTCTTCTTAACTACACAGAAAATAGGTTATAAAACTCCGTTAAAAATATTATATTACTTAAACGAAAATCTTCAACTTCTGAAAGTCACAAAATTGAGAGTACACTTCTTAAATGACTGTGTAAAACTACCAGCAAAATTTTTAAAAATAACCTGTAACATAAGGCTTATACAAAAATACAACCTTTTAGTATCCAAATATTTCAAATTTGAAGCTTACTACCTTTCTGTGTGACAAAATATGGAGAATAGGAAAGAAACGACGATTGAGGAAAGAAAACTGGACATTAATCTGTCTAATCAATCAAGGACAAATCTTTGAGAAAAATAGGAGAAATACTTGGAAGAAGTGTAAATTGTATTAGAAAAATCATTCAAAAATTTAGAAAGGATGGTACTCTGGAAAACCGAAGCAGAGAGAGGCAGGAAGAAAATTCTCAGTTCAGCAGCAGAGAGGAGGAATTGTACACAAGGTAAGGATTGATCCTACAATAAGTGTCCCCAAAATTGCCGCAAGTACTTCGGAAACTGGGGGTAAATCTGTTTCTGCAGAAACAGTGCGCAGAATCCTCAGAAGGGCTGGTTATAATGGCAGAAAAGCTTTCAAAAAGCCCTTCATTAGTAAAATAAATAGAGCTAAGAGATTAAAATTTGCTAAAGAGCACATTCTAAAGCCTAAAGAGTTCTGGAATGAAGTTATTTTCAGCGATGAGAGTAAATTTAATGTTTTTGGCAGTGACGGTCATCGTATGGTGTGGCGCAAGAAAAATTCAGCTTTAGATCCAAGAAACACAATTCCAACTGTGAAGCATGGAGGTGGGTCAATAATGGTTTGGTGCTGTATGGCATCATCGGGAGTTGGATGATGGAATAATGGATAAAATGGGTTATCTTAATTATATTGAAAAATAATTTGAAGGACAATGCTACTCAATTGGGACTAGGATCAAAATTCACATTTCAACAGGATAATGCTCCAAAGCATACAGCAAATACTGTCAAAGAATGGCTTCTGTATCACTGCCGAAATCAGGTGAACACACCTCCTCAATCTCCTGATTTGAACGTGATCGAAAATTTGTGGTCCCACCTTGAAGAAGAGGTCCGAAAACATCAGATCAGAAGTAAAGAACATTTGAAGCATGTACTAAAAGTGGAGTGGGAAAACATTTCACCCGAAATTACGAAAAATCTTGTCGATTCGATGTCTCGGCGGCTGGAAGCTGTCATCAAAGCCAGTGGGTATGCTACAAAATATTAATGTGTTGTTTTTTTATAATTTATGTAATAAATCAATTACATGTACCCTCAATTTTGTGAGCTCAAATTTTTGACAATTTCTGTTTTGACAATTTTGTTTCTGTATTTCATGCATTTTTTTTTTATGTCTATTCATGAATAAATATTAAGATTAGGTATCTTTCTACATCCTCGTCTAAAGGTTTTGGTGACTGTCTTTATCTAACAGTTTTTGTTTTCATTCTAAACAGGAATTCTGTCGTAGAATGGAGTGTACCCTCAATTTTGGGACTCACTGTATATTTCGAGCATATAAAGTTTAGAAAGAAATTAAGAATGTATCTTTTCTTTACCGAAGAAGTTGATTTTTGTTTTTCTGACGCCAAATTTAAAGAACGTGAGGTAAGATAGTGATTTGTTTACCTTTCATATTTATTGAGTTACATATACTCGGAGTCGCTTAATATGATCCCGTTCGTTTGATCCTATATTGCTAACATTAACCGAATGATAACATTAAGCGATGAGAAAAAAAATATGCTTGAAAATAGGGTGAATCTTCGGATTATGGAAACTCGGCGATTTTTTTGGCGAAAATGTGGCGACCAGCCCTGCTACAGCAACCTGCCAGTTTTTTTTTTTTTTGTTTTTTGGATGCCATTTTGTTTTCACGAAGTAAGGGCATGTTTTTGTTTTTACTCAACATTTTTTTAAACAATCTGCTAGCAGAATTACGCTTATGCTAGAACTTTTATGGAACAAAAGTGCTTAATCATGACGAAGATTAGGTGCGAAATTGTTTCCAAGTGCTTATTAGCTAAAATCACGATCGGAAGTTTCCGGAAAGTAGTGGAACAAACGTGCACAGAAATTTGTTTTTACAGGGCAAATTTATGTATGAAACATGTAAGTAATTTTTCTCATAAAATAGAAAAATTTGCGCGAAAATGCAGGAAAATTTTGTGAATCTTTGAGGTCGGTAAAAAGGACATGTATGAAATTGCCTGATTGCTAAAAAGTATGTATACTATGCAAGCTTTTATATCTTGAGCTTGCATATACCCTTTCCAAGGATGAACATTTGCATGTATAAAATAAATAAAATATGCAAGAAATTACATTAATTTTTCATTTCCCTCTAAATTATCTATTATAAAAGTAACCACAAAATAATATGTGACTGGAACTGTGTACTTCTCAGATTATTGCTAAAGTCCTAGGTAGTAACCTTTATCACCTTACCAAAATGTCGCCAAACTACCTGTTACCATATTCCAAAGATTAGCCTAAAAGGGTGATATAATTTAACGGATTTAAAATAAATACAACGAAAAACATCTAAATAATTACTTTCACGAAATGTTGTTAGGAAAATGAAAAATTTTTTTATGAACCGTTCCCAATGTCTTTATCGCAATTGTTCATTTATGAACTGTTCATAATACTTCTGGAAATTAATTAACCGATGGTGTACCTCTAATCTTAATACTTGGCATCTTTCATCCACCGACAGATAACATGCATACGTAAAGTTTAAAGTAAGACAAAAAAAGCAACCTTAGTTTCGTTTAGATGTTTATAGGATTTTTTTAAGGATTAGAGAGAAATAGACTGCAGAAAGTTTTGCTTCTGAAGAAGAGGGATTTGGATCTGATAATCTCTAAAATTAAAAACGTTATACAGAATCTAAGCCAAGTCAAATCTTAGCCGAACGATACTTCATCGCAACTTCCTTGGCGCAATTTAGCGAATTTTAGGGAAACTGAAAAATTACTTTTATTGTAAACTATTACATACATATATATTATTACATACATATTATACGATTCAACCATATATTTATTCCAAAAGACAATCAGCGAACTAATTACAGACGGGTTTTTGTTTTTGTCGTGTTGTAAGTTTCGTAGCGATCGCTTTGAGAAAGAAATCGGAGTATTGTTTCTTTAACGATTTTGCGGCAAAGAAAGTATTCCTGTAGACACTTCATCTCTCTTTCTTTTGTTACACAAAAATCTTACGAGGAAAAATTATAAAATCGAGTTTAAGACAAAAAAAAAAAAAAAAAAAAAAAAAATCACAATTTTTCGATAAAAGTCGTTTGACTTGGAATATAACAAAAAGAACGCATATGAAAATGGCGACATTGGGAACTGAATATTTGTCATGCGCATGGTTCGTTAAATAATTATTATGCGCGCGGTTACCAGAATCTGAATTATTCTGAAACTTGACGATATCTAGTAAGTTGGTTTTGATGATACGTAAGTATCTGCATTTAGCCTGATTTGAAATGTTTGACTAAAATCGATAACAAGCTTTTTGGTGACATAATCCCTTATTTGGCGGACTATTTCTGACATTTTCAATTTTTGAAATCTCGTTTGACCTTATTTGGCGATTTTACTTCAGATAAAAAAATTATTCGATCGTACATCGATAATATCAACCGAATTGTTGATCACAATAAGCCAAGAATATTCCATGTTTTCATATACCCAAATGGGTACTATTTGGTTTCGAGAGCCGTAAAAAATCGCCAAACTATTGTTGATGCCAATGCTGCCAAAAATAATTGCGGCAAGAAAGGAAGTATAATAGTAAATAACTATTTAAGATTGATGTTTTAATTTAGAAAGGTTAATGGTAAAATCCTAGTATACGGTGCAGCCTTGGCGCGATTTTGAAAATTATCGCCAACACCAAAAATTACCAAAAGAACGTTCTATGTATATATAGTGATAGTATACTATACACTATATAATATCACTATATACATAATATATACTATATATAACTATATATATTTTTTGAAATACCCGTTTACTACTCATCTTATATGTCCCGTTTTTACTGCTCATCATAAAAGTCGCCAAAAGTAGCCAAATCCCGTGTGCACCGGATACTAGGATTAAACCAGGTTAATTTCATATAATACTTTTTTATTATTATAATTTATATGAAAAAGGCTAAACATGACTGAATGGAAGCATAAGAGTAAATAACTATTTCAGATCATTATTATAATTTATATAAAAATTGATAAACGTAATTGAATGGATGCCTGCATCGCTATTTCGCTACCGATTTATCGCTCAAGCATAATTTCATCTCGTTGGTTGTTCAAAACGTAATTTTCTATAATGGATGATGCCTTTTCTTTGAAAATATTCTCGGTAAAGTGCAGAATTCCTCACTTATTTGTTTGCCGCTTTTTACAAGGGTCAGTGCCATTTTTGAGCAATTCTAGGAGTTTTTTTTTTTTTTTTTTTTTTTTTTTTTTTTTTTTTTAAGTGAAAATAGGTCGATGTGCTGCACATGGATACCGAGTATGTGCAATTCTTAAAAACGCGTCAAGCAATGGGTGATTCTGCATTTTACCCAAAATTCTATTGCCGAGTTTTCGTTATGGGCAATTCCCAAAATGTTAAATCCATAGGATATCAAAAAAGGATTTAAAATCAAAAAAGGATTTAAAAATTAAACTAGTATTTCAATGACGTTTTAAGAAATATAGAACTATATAAACTTACGCAATCTGAAATCAGCGCGTATACTAGATTTGGCGCTTTTGCGCGTACATCTTCGCTGCAATTTTTTTACGGCCCTCGAAAACGAATAATAGTACCTACAAATGAATAGAACTTAGTGTATTTAATATTTGCTTACGCGATAGAACGAAACATTATCTCAAATCGTGCATCCATGATAGGAGCTGATTAGCTAAATTCTAAAAATTATCTAATTAAATAACCTCCAAATATTATCTCATCCTTGTTGTTTAGTGTTTCGCTGAATTCAAAAACTTTTGCTCCCCTCAATTCAGCTCTCCATTGCCTTCCTTAAACTCTGAAAATTTGCCATTCGTAAATTTTGTTGCTCGGTGTTTCTCTAAATTATAAAATATTTCTCTCTACTAAATTCTGCAGCCTTGTGCGGCCGCAACGCTTGCAACAACTTTCCAGCCAGCTTTGTATGTATATTGTAGTATAACATTACTACTTAACTTTAGTTAGTTTAACTTTAATTTTACATTCTACCAAATCGGCCGGATATACTTACGAGGTGTTGAAACGTTACGAAGGAAACTCAAGTATTCAAAATTGAAAAGGAGTAGAAAATTAATACTACTTATAGCAGTTAAGATCATTTTATAATCTGATAGTTAATTAAGCAGTTTTAATAGAGGTAAGCGCATGCAGTTATTCCTCTTCGTTTTTCTAATTTTTTAGACTACTTTTTATGAAAAATTATGAATAAAACTTAATAATAATAATAAACTGTCATAAAAGAAATGAATTAATTAATGAAATTTATTAGTTAACTATATAAGTTTAAAATTCTCTTAACTGCTCTGCTCATATTCTGTTTTTGAATGATTAAGTTTCTTTCTCATTTTTCATAAAGAAATTTATTAGTTAATTTTAAAATATGAAATATAAAAGTAAAAATATTCCTCATTCCTTCTTGCACCCACAAATCACTATGCGAATTTTTAAAGACTGAAAACGCATGTCTGCGATGTTATCGTCATGCGAGGATTTGTAGGTGCTTTATTTTTAGCACAATATTTCCGACGACCACGTTTTTAAACTGCCGGTACAACCCAAGTGGTTTGTAGCGTCGCTCACTACCGTACCAAAGTTCCCGGGTTCGAATCTCGGAGAAATCATGGATTTTTGTAAATGTATAGTGTCTGTGTGGCATGGGGACGCTCTAAATATTCGGCGAGCCGGAAGTCCTCTCGAGAGTTTGGTGATAGGGCAAGAGGGGTGGGAGATCCTCAGACCCGTCTTCCGGGGCTGCTTCCGATTAAAACTGGGGGAGTGGAACTGAGGTAAATCGCATTGTCACCTGTAAGGTGTTTAAGGCGATGAATATCGTGGCCTTGGGATGACTATAGGTTAGACAAGAGAGCATTAGCAACATCGACACCCTGTTTAAAATTGCGAAAATTTAAACGCTTTATTTTCCTTGACGGTGTGCCACGATGTTTTAGAATTGCGAAAATTTTTCTTGCTTTCATTCCTCCCATAATGCTCTGTGCGACGAGACGTTTTCGCCTTGCGTGGTTTTTTTCGGCTTTTTTTTTTTTTTTTTTTTTTTTTTTTTCCGTCTAGAAAATCCAGTGAAAGAATTCAGAATTTTATTACATTTGAATCTGAACCGGGCTGTTTATCTTTTGAAGCTAAAATTGGAATAATTTTGATTTTATCATCTGTTAATAAGTAAATTTCTTAATTACAGCATCCTTTAGTCTTTACGACTGATTCTGGGGTAGAAACGGCCATTTCCATCTCAAGTTTATTTAAATTTTATTGCGATTGTCAGACCATATCTGGACATTTACCACGCCTTTAACAAAGGTAACGATAAAATGCAGTAGACATGA